ATAATATAATATACTATATAATAATAATTATAATAATATAATAATATAATATAAAATATAAAAATATATAATATACAATAATAATTATAATAATAATACTATATAATAATAATATAATAATATAATATAATATATAATATACTAATAATAATATACTATATAATATATAATAATATAATATACTTCTAATAATTATATAAAATACTTTTTTAGTTCTCGTAACCATCTTTTAGTGTAATAGTATAATTTAAATAATCAGACTAGAAACGCAAAATGTTATTATTATTTGACATTAAAAATAATTTAATATAAGATCCAACAATTAATGAAGAAAGTTTAAGAAAGATATTAATTCGAATTTAATCTTTAATTATCATTAAAGAGCATTTTTTTGTACTTCTTAACTTTCTTCATAGTAAATAATAATTTAACAAAACGGATATTCATTTCATTCTGATGTGGTAATACATATGTTTTAGAAAACACCTAGTCTATTAGAAATCCAGCGAAAGTTGAAAATGCAGGAACTGTCGATCATAACTGTTGAAACGTAACGAAAGTATCAATCTCTTAATGGAATTGCACCAGGTATCCAATTATTTATTCACGGTAGTGTATGTGCAAGATACCAACGCTGAATACTTATTGTTGTTACTCGCGCGGTGCAACGCGTTCGAATCGACCCGTGTGAAATTGCATACTGAGAAATTCGACGTTCGTTTCTTCATCGTCGAACGCGACTCGCAACATTGACAAACTAGCTCTGCAGAGTTCTAATTTATTAACTTTTAATCCGTTCGACTTGATTGAGGTATTCTTCAACGGACATGATTTTTGTCTTGAAAATAATTTTACGACTGGATGATAGATTGCAACTACTATGTATTGATGAAAATATAATTTATTTCTCTTCTTTAAACGTGATAATGTAATGAGGAATCCTATAATGAGGTATGCTGTAATGAAATAGTATTTCTTTGGTGATGTACCGATTTAAAATCCGCACCCCAATAAAAGAATACCTGGTCTTTATGATTTTTAGTAAATTCACAAACACTTGCATGCAACGTACAAACATTTGTAAAATAGATGTAAAATAGATAAATTTAAGATATTAATTATAAATATTTAGACGAAATTTAAATATAATGAATATAATGAATAATATGAATAATATAATGAATATAATGAATAATATAATAAATATAATGAATAATTAGACGAAATTTAAATATAATGAGTAAAAATTATAATATAATACATTGTATTAAAACTGCAATTAATATGTATTAAAATATAAAATATTCACTTTGAGTGGGAAAGAAATGAGCAACATTATAAAAAAAAAAAAACACTCGAAGTAAAATATGAACAATTAATTAAACTACGACTTGTAATAATTTTTAATATCCATTTGTTATTTTAAAATATTTTATTTCTACGTCTATTTTTACAAATGTCTGTTCGATGTACGATTTTCAGTAATATATTGAAAAGAAGTCGAATTTTCCTTCCTTGGATCATTACGAATCCCTGACATTGACAAACCGTAGGTTTCTTTGTGTGGCCGGAAGTAGCAGTCGGGACATCGATTTCCGGTCTCCATGTTTTACTAGGTAGACATCACGCGAAGTCTGCATTCTTACTGTCTGATGGGATCGACCTTCGAACGGGACTACTTTCGCGTAAATAAGACGTCTGATTAAAGAAAGTATCGATCGATACTAATTAGTCAAATACGGTAGTCACGTAAAAAATATTTTGAAACAAGTCTATTGATAATTAATGTTAATAATGATCAGGTAATCCTTAAACTAAATTTCATTTTATTATTTTATTATTTATTTATTTTATTTTATTATTTCACATTTTTCATAGCAGTTAATAACTTTTTGAAAATATTCGATTCTGATCGATTTTTGAAAGTGCGAAGTTCTTTGTTTCATAAGAACGAAAACTTCCTTCTCCCTCAATCTTTCACATAGTAGAGACAGTTATGGCAAAAATCATTTTCCGCCATAATACAAAAGAAAAACCCTTCAGATTCTCTACTTTTCCTATTATAAATATATAAATTCTCGATTACTTTAATTAGCACGTGAAATTTTTTTTCATTTCTCCCTAGTAATAAGATTAAATCGAATAAAGAATTCCAAAATTAAGCAAATTTTCGCGACTTCGAATGTCCAATGATAGCAAAGATTAATAGCAAAAATAAAAATTTTAAAAAAGAATCCTGCACTTTTCCAATCATGGACACACAGATATTCATCGACGAATTAGTTAGTCATAATATTGACAAACGTTTACAACATAATTAATCTGTTTTCTGTAACTACGTGACGACGAAATTTTCAACGAAAGATCAAACAGAAAATCCTCCAGTTCCTCCACCTACTTTTCCTATACCTCTTATGCGGAAACTCGCAAAAAAAAAAAAAAAAAAAGAACTCGCGCGTACCGAAAAGGGACGTTACGCGTTTCGTGCTCGCAGCGTAAGATTTGCAAATATGAAAAGTACGCCTCGTAGCGAGGCGAGCCGCGTGTGGACAAATTTCGTCGTGTCGGCTCGCCGTGTGTAAAAATGCGGGGACACGAGTTTACAATAAGCCTGGTGTTTGCGGAGGGTATTGGCGTTTGTCATACAGATATTACATGGTCGACGAACCTTGAGAATTTCTCAGAACGAACGTAACGCCGTAGCACAGCCGTGGCTGTACGTACGAGGGACACGTCGTAGCACAAGACACGGTTCCAAACTCATTTCACGTACAAACCGGCTGATATCGGCGATATGAACGCGGAATTTTATTCATCGACGACGTCACCCGTCCGCCATTCGACGTTTATCGATGTCACCTTTACACGTCGAGTGCCTCCGCGAGAACTCCCGAGTTCCTTAAACTTCTGACGAGTGTAAAAACGAGAAAAGCCTCTCTACGTCCTTCTGACGGTACTTGAAAGTATCGCTCGAGATGCACTGCGGATTTTTTTTATGCATTTGTCGGAGAAAATTATTATTATTTTAACTACAAAATTTAATAGATGAAACAAATATCTCTGTCTAGATTTTTTTAATTATTTTCAAAAAACATGAATTTTTGCATTATTTACTATCTATATCATTTTGATATATCAATGATCTATATCACTCGCGAATGGCGGAGAAGGACACGAGAATGTTTAAATGTCCTTGCATTGTGTTATTTCTTCCAATTTATCACTTGAACCTCCCTCGTGTGAATCTCTATCTTTCAAACGTTATGTTATCAGAATAAAATGTCTGTCAGTAACTGGAATCGGATATCTGCAGATATTCTATTCTAACGACATAACGTAATTTGAATAAAATATTTGAAGAATAGTAAAGTATGCCAAAAGTCATCTAGTGATAAATTTAATACAAATTTGATGCCGGGACATAAAGGATTGAATTTTCTCTCGTTCGATCGATGATGTATAATTTTAGTGTCTTTTGATAAGTGCAATTTGCTCTAATGTATTACATGTCTAATTTTATTTTAGCTCTCAAATAATATCGTTAGTTGTAGATAACTATAGGTATTAATTTACGTTAGGTTTGGAGTACTTTATTTTATTTCGTATTACATTCTTCGTGATAGAGGTTAGGTTTAAAAAAAGATTAGGTTCAAAATTGAAGTCAAATAAAATTAAAAATTTCAGAATTTTACGTAACTTTTTAATTTAACCCTCGAGTGGACTTTCGATTTTCTCGTTGAGTAACTAGAGTTTGCCAGCAAATTGATAAATAGAAATAAAATTTTGCTGCTGCGCAAGCAGGATTAGATAAATCTTCGAATAAGAACATCAACAGATAATACGATTATTAATTTGCAACTCCGATGATCCACTTAAGGGTTAAATTTACTTTAAACTGTTAGACATGTTGGATGTTTAGTTCTACTTTAACCTCGAAATAGCATCGTTGGATTATAAATTTAGAGTATTCTGTTTTATCTTGGCGATAAAGATCGAGATTAAAATTCAATAAAAACGTTGATCTGAATGCAATAAAACATCACACACAGTATCTAACTGAGTTTACGTTTCCTCAACGACGATGGTCGGGCGACAGCGATAAAAATCGAGCATTCTTTCCGCAATAGAATCGAAGAGAGGAGTGGCTTCGCTTCCATCGACTAGCTAAGGTCATAACGAAAGTTTAGCTGTCGTTTCTTAGGTGGCCTTTACCAAAGTCCGTCACGTACAACATGTGTACGTGCCTTGCGGATTTATTGCAGTCGTACTTCGTGGTTTCGTCATAACTCTGTGGCGTCGGGAATATGTCACATCCGTGAAATTTGATAAAAAGCTCTTTCTCGGGAAACTTGCACGACACCCGCCGAATTTCCACGATTGTCCAAAGAGCATTTTTCTGCGAAAGAATCCTTTATATTAAATTAAATTAGCCTGTCGTCTTTTCAAGTAAAGAAGTTATCAGGCAAAACGATTGAATTTTTCATTTTTCAAAACATTCTCGCATCGTATTTATTTACGATTGCATTTAGAAGAACTTTCACAAGTACAGGTTCGATTATAAAAGAATCCTTGACATCCCGGTCAAATTTTTTTTCAAATCGAAATAACTTTTGATTCATTGAAATGTTTTCAAGCCAATAGAAATATAATATGATACAATGCTAGTGTTTTTGGGGAGTGTGATATTTCTGACAGAAAGAATTAAATGAAATTAAAGTAAAAGAGTCTTTTCAATTGAAGTAATTGAATTAAAGTTAAACTGAAAATTAAAACAAAGAGGAACTTCACTAGGGTGAAAAATTTCATTCATAATGGAATTAGCGTGATTCCCTTTGGTCATGAATCTTGCGAATTAAATATTTGTAGAACTCAATACGAGATCCATCAAATAACTAAATAACATCAATGATGTTAAATTAAAATGATTATCTACATGAAGATAATATGACAATAATAGTACTTCAAAAATTCAGAAGCCACACTGATCAACTCTATATTATACTATAATTAAATAAATGAAAGTAAATGATTTGTTCCTTAAGAAATGAATATTCAATCACTTACGTAAGAAAATTAATGAGAAACATCGTGACAAAAGGAATTATTACAAAACATGAGATGTACAATCCTGTAAAAATATAAACAGCACAAAAAAGAGAACATCATCTCCTCTAAAGATGAAAAAGAAAATGCACATTCGCCCATCCATCCCGACGACACAACGATCACGTACTTACCTGTCGAGCTCGTTTCTATAGTTCGTAGTAGTAAACTCACTTCTCATCGTGAAACGCGTAATTGAACAATTGGCTCACGTTTACAGATCCTGGTGTTAGCCTTGATCGCCACGATAAACGCGAACCCATCGTACTACGTGAAACCCATCGAGGACGAGAACGATTACGCTCGCGTCCTGGAGCTTTCGCTTTTGTTTTACGAGGCACAACGATCGGGAAAGCTGCCGGAGAACAATCGGATCCCATGGAGAGGTGACTCGGCGCTCGACGATCGAGGACTGAATGGGGAAGATTTGAGCGGAGGCTATTATGACGGTAGTTGAGAGCAATGTATAGTATTTATATACATAAATACGATTCGATCAATCATGCGACGATGAAATGATCAGCGGTGACGAAGTGTTTGCTAGATGGAATTTTTTATCTGCAGGATGTGAACTTTTACGTGTTAGATCGTTGAATCAGAACAGAATCCAGAATAGATATTTCATTTTACAGTGAGAAGGTGTTGCGCGATCTACTTTTAATTTAATTTTTATCCCAAGATTTATGCGTTAGAATGACAACGAAAGTAGAAATAAATTGAGAGACAACATATATCGATTCAAGTGACATAAGAAGTTATACAAGATTTAATAGTAAAAAAATACACATGTTATATAATTTTCTTGTAATTAGTGTACAAGAGTGTACTACCTTTACCAATCAAGAAATTTTATTCTCAGCTGGTGATTTCGTGAAATTCGGCTTTACTATGGCCTCAGCGACTACCCTGCTGGCATGGGGTGCCATCAGTTGGCCAGAAGCTTACACCGCGGCTGGCCAACTCGACGAACTTCGCAAAGCTATTAAATGGGCTACCGACTACTTCATTAAGTGCCACGTAAGCGAATATGTCTTTTACGGGCAGGTCGGTGAATTCTTCTTGGACCACACGTTCTGGGGAAGACCAGAAGAACTCAACACCACTAGACCTGCTTACAAAATTGATCCAGAGCATCCAGGTATCATACATGTATATATATATATATATATATATTTCCATTACTATATAATTACCGCAAACATGTATTTAATAAGAAATGAATAAATTAGTACACACCACTGTATATGTTAATATATGTTTGACCAGTGGTTATTCATTTTAATATACATCACCGTGTGTGATTAATCTAAAATGTTCATTTTAGATTCGCTATATGTTTGTTCATTTTATTATTAATTCATTCGTATAAATTAAGTTAATAACAATAATCTGTCAATATCATTTTTTTTTTTTAAACCACATCTTATATTTGCCTTTTAAATTTTCTTCTGTAGTGACTCAATAATGATCTAACTTCTGGAAGCTGCGATTCAAATATCACGATCTTTTCATTGTACAGCCGAACTTTTCAGAGGAAATCTGTCGAAAAGTCTCGTATATTCCAGATATACTATACATTATTAACTTCAAACGAAACAGGCAACATATAATGAGTGAGTTTCGCGGGAGTTCACAATTTCAAGAGAGAAACCAGTGTGTAACGTGAATTTGCCGAGAATTCATAATTTCGCGTGAAACTTTCGTCAAACATATATCACACGAGATGTGTTTCTCTCATCTATTTAACTTATCTGCACAGCGAAACATCCGGAAATATTTGTTTGAACTGTGCAGCATTTATCTGTAAGATATTGTAAAATTACCAAACGAAGCAGTTGTCAGAAACGAGAAACTATCGTCAAAGTAGCGCACTCAAAATTCTCTGTTAGATCCTCGCATAATAAAATAATTTTTCATTTTCAGCCACTTCAGAGAATTCCTTGATAATAATATCATTATCATTATAAGGATATTTATTTAACAATATTTCTTGATAATTAATGCTTTAATCGAATAATATTAATTAAATTGTGAAGTTTCTTCGTTTCGTTATAACATTTATTTCACTTTACATATTGTGCCTTAAATAATTTCTATAAAAGATTTATTTGATCTAGACCCAAGATAAAGTTACTATCTTCGTTACAAATACACTTTCAGCTAAGATAAAATATCCTTGTGCCTGTTTGAAATATATAAGAATTAGTGATTTCCATATATTTAAATAATTCGAGAACGCTTTCTACCAGATATTGTAAAATTGTCCCTCTCACTACATTTTTGTCTTTATCATCATTTTAGGATCCGACCTGGCAGGTGAAACCGCGGCTGCCCTCGCTGCAACCAGCATAGTTTTCCGCAACCACGACCCAGAATACAGCGACAATTGTTTAAAACACGCTAAGGAATTGTACAAGTTTGCCAATAGATATCGCGGCCTTTATAACGAAGCGATCCCTGGAGCAGCTCTTTATTACGAGAGCACGGACTACGGCGACGAATTGGCTTGGGCAGCGCTATGGTTGTTCAAGGCTACGAACAACACGATGTACTTCGAGGAGGCCGAACATCATTATCAGCATTTCCATCTCAAAGAGAGGCCGAACGAATTCTTTTACAACAAGAAAGTCGCTGGCGTTCAGGTAATTTCGTACGCCTTGACGAAGTAATCCGAAATGACAGGGAACAGAAGAGGATACGTTGATTTCCGCCATCTTTGATTTACCTTCTGTTCGACGTTTAATTTCTCTGCTTGTAGATTAATCCATGTAGATGTTGAAAATGGAAAATGGATGACTCTTAAACGTAAACGCCAGTTGACATTAAAGAAATAAATGTTTCAAATATATTGATCGAGAATATATGTTACTAAATATTGTACTAGAAAATAATTTTACTTGTTTACAAAATATTGTTATTACATTTAAAAAAAATTTATAAATCATCATATCATGTGTTGAAAATACAAGCTATTAGAAAAAGTTGATAATATTATTCAGAATAATAGGTTGGCAGCGAGACACGAAATGCATACCACAGTTGCATCAAGTTGAAATATTGGTTGGTTTGGCAGATGCTGTTGGCCCAGATAACAGGACAATTGGAATACCAGAAGGCAGCCCGTGCTTTCTGCGATTTCTCGGTGCGCCAGCAAAAACGTACGCCGAAGGGATTGCTCTATATCGACAAATTCGGTACCCTCTGCCACGCAGCGAACGTGGCGTTCGTTTGCCTGCAGGCGGCTGATTCGCACGGTATCGGCGATCCCCAGGAATACCGTCAATTCGCCGAGCAACAAATTCACTACATGCTGGGAGGAAGCGGTAAGCTTACTACGATGCGACACGACTCGACAATGGCAATGTTACAGGTTGAAATTTACAAATTTTGAAACAAATATAATTAATTCGTCCTAAGAAGTACCATTGCTCACGAAGATCGTGATTTTACAACAAAAATGGGTATTGATTTTTTCGAGAAAAGGCTGTCACTTTAAAACGAGAACAGGTACACTTTTTTATTTGTTACGTCAATTCAAATTATCGACAATTTTTCATTAGAAATATTTTATCGTATTTCAAGTCGGGGAAATAAAGGACGTTCTATTTCTCATTATATCTTATACTTAAGTAATATATGTTTCATTTGACACTGTCTTTGTATCGTACTCTTACGAATTCTTTTCGTCCGAATTAGGCAGGAGTTACGTAATCGGTTGGGGTCGAAATCCTCCGAAGCAGCCCCATCACGTAGCTTCGTCATGCCCTGACAGGCCAGCACCTTGTGGATGGTCCGAACTCGACAAGAACGCGCCGAATCCTCAAATCCTTTATGGTGCCCTGGTCTCTGGCCCCGACGAAGCGGACAAGTTCCACGATCGTCGAGAGGATTACGTGTACACGGAAGTCACTGTGGAGTACAATGGAGGATTCACGAGCGCGCTGGCCGGATTGTTACAGCTGCGAGTTAAAAGCACCACGTAACAGGCGATAATAGCCACGAATCAAGAAATTATTAATTTGATCTCTGAACCAGAATCATCGAATTTTTTTTTTTTTCGTGATTTTCCAACGAAGGATCGATGGATTGTCAAATGATCTTTTTTAGGAAGCATTTTCGAGAAAGAAAGGGAAGGATTGATAATTATATCGTGAACGTTTGTACATTCTTATCTAGAGGATTGATAGAGTTCTAGATCTAAGAGCGAATTAACGTATTGATCGTACATCTTTATTTAAGATTTCACGTGTGACGAATGGGAGTTTCGAACGATTGGAATTTATTTGGGATTAACTCGACTTAAAGATGTATATAGTGTAAGTTTAATAGAAGAAAGTTTTTCGTAGGTTTAAGAATTGAATGTAATCAAACGAAAAAATTATAAATTCGTCTGATGATTGGTGTAATTAAAAATATGTTCAATTATAGGGTAAAAAATTAGACGTGCAATAGACATATGTACATATACTGTCGTTGAAAAACTTGAAACTCGTAAGATTTATAAATTAGGAAATGGGAAGCTTATTTAACACGTTCCTTAGAGAAGCATTTAATTATTGCAATTATTCAGTAATTTAAATAATTTACTGATTCACCATGTTGTACATAATATTCCTAAAATTGGGAACTAGTTCCCTCGTTTTATTTAACAGTAATATATATTAACTGTAATAATTATTTAACAATTTTATAAATATAGTGTATTATAGACTACAGAATTAACGCGCGTATGAAAAGAACTTATGTATATTAAATTCTTTCTATTTATCTTCGCGGTTAGAAAATTTATATCTCCATATAAATATCTATTGTTTCTTTCAATTTTATAATATAATATAATATAAGACGAGCTTACTACGATAATTACGAACATTCGTCCGATTAGAAATTAACATAAAATTATTAGCTTAAAGTAACTGAAACTATGAATTCTAAGATTCGCACAGATCCAGCAATCAATATTTCGAGATAATCAATTGTTTTTATCTATCCTTTTTTTTATTTATTATTATTATTGATCTTTTTTATAAACTTTTCATTAGATTGTTGTAGATGAAGATGAAATTCTCAATGTAGGTTTCAGAGTGTGTTTTTTTTTGAAAATAATATCAATCAAATTTCAAAAACAGATCCCTAAATTCGACACATTCTGTCCAAATAATTTTATAATCATTACAATTAAAAGCTGCAATCGATTATCTTCTTTTCGTGGTTCACTGTTTATACTTGTACTTTCTAATTGTCCTAACTTTTCACGCGAATGTCTGTTAATGTAGCTTCCGGAATACCTGTATTAGAATAGTTATCTCACTTGAAGTTTCAAGTTTCATGGAAATCTATTCGAATTCAATGTTTCGATAAATAACCCAACTTTTTTATATATTTATAAGATAAAAACACACAGATTATGTTGGATTTGGCAAACTTCAAGATTCAGTAGATTTTTAATCACGAAATTCTGAATAATTTCACGCACTTGTGTCATTTCACATCCAACAAGCTGATAAATGTTTTAAGATACATAGGATCTCGACATCCGACATAACTCATACAGTGTTAAAATATTAGAATTCATGGATTCAATTCGTGTTACATACAACGTGCAAGATAATGTGTATCTTAATTATTTAAATTTGCATAATTTATACGCTTCCCAATATATTAGATATGTGCAACGTTTTACCTACTCGCAACACAGTTTCTCCCACGCTGTTATAAATAAAAAGAATCGAATATCTTCCTCGTAATTGTGCAGTGGTCGTGAAATTTATTCACACATAAAAATACCTTTACTTGAGTATCGATATCGGATACTACAGCGGGTATATAAACTCGTAAATGTAACATTGAGAAATGTAAATACGGCTTTCCAGTCCAAATTCGAAAGCCAGTAATTTATAATTATTATAAATAAATTGTTCCACGATGATATATAACAATTATTATTATTATTGCGTTCATTAGTATTAATGATATGACATTACACTCGTTAAGTATGATAATGAGCAAATGAAATGCAGCGATAAACAGAAGATTGGTCTCCTGCAATTAGAGCAGAAATTTCACTACACAACTCTAAGGATAATTTTTGATTCAGAATTTTCGTCGTTCAATTATTATTTCATATGACTCGACAGAAGATTACTCTACGTACTTTGAATATTTTACATATTTTTGTTTTTTTTTTCCTTTTTCTCTCATGTTGTATGCACGCACTCTGTGCAACTCTGCATATTAAAACTTCCAACGAACGTACGGAGATCGATTTTGCGCTTCAAAATTTCCAACGGCATTTCCAAAACGTGTAAAGTTAAATTTAGAAATTCCTGATCAGAGCTTCTGATCAAATTTTTGCTTCGCTTACTTGAAAGATTTCCAAGAAATTTGCTTAGAAATTTTCGTTCCTATTAAAATAATATTATTGAGCACAGACGTTTCGGATATTTTATAACTAGATCACTCGCTAGTGTACCTGTGTATCGAATGAATATACTCTTGACCGATTGTTCCATATTGTCTCCAGTTACTTACATCGAAACACGATTTTTCCATACCAATTGCGTCAGCTGCTTTGCTTCAGGTGCAGTCACTATCGAACAACGTTCGATATCATGTTCCTATCGTTATGGAAGTGAAATGTGTCGTATTCATGTACTTTACACTGTTTGCTCTATTGTTATCGATCGTAGAGGTTCGTCTTGAGGATTTTAATAAAAAGGGTAGGTATTATTTATTTGGATTTCGGAGGGCAAGTGTGTCTAGCTGGATTTCTTTTCACATATATTGATAATAATGATAGAGTAATAAGGGTAAAAGTAAAGATTAAAATTTACTTAATATTATATCAGATTCTATTTTGATCAAGATTAATCTATTCCATTATTTCCTACGCTTCGTACATTTTTGCATGTTACATTATATTCTGTACATTTTCGAAATTTCAGATTTTCCATAAAAGGTATAAAGATCGTAGAATAATTGTATAAATCGTATAACCTCGGGAAAAGATTTTTAGAAAAAGAGACTGACTACATTAATCTGATTGATTATTTATATATTTTGTATAATGTGTACTCGTATTATATCTTCTATATATTTTTATACTTGCATTGCTTGTATTATACGAACCGTTTAGTGCAAAAATTGATGTAAGCCAAGGAAATTAATTCCTACATAATAACATCAAAAGAATGTTACATCTCCCTTTCTCAGTCTTTTAAAATATAATATCACATCAAATAAATAAACACTTTTTGTATTAAACGATTTATATATCTTCTATATATATATTTTTTTTTTCAAAATTCATCAATATAATCATAATAATTAAGTTACTGAAATTTCAAAATATTTCTCATAACAAGACATACACTTGTGAAAGACTTTTAAAAATGTTCGAATATTTTCATGACTAAATTTCGTGGTTGATTGCAGGAACTATCGATGGCAACGATCACAGAGGTTGTGCATATTTACAGTGTAGAGGGAATGACGTCTGCGTTCATCGAAAATTTCGATGTAAAGATCCTCCGTGTCCCAGTATGCTGTACTGCGCGAGATCTCGAACAGGTAAGTGTCTCAACAAAGATACTCGTCGTCGACCTCCCTCTTGTTACTGAAATTGAATTATATTACGAGACAAAGCGCACAAAGAACACCGTTGAACGATGCAATTTCGTATTCTGTGAATACGGGCTCAAACAGTTGTTTAAGATATAAATGGGTGAAGTAAAGCGTTTAAGTTGTAAATAAGTCAGAAACTGGGTAAAATTCTGCGAATTTTTTTTCACAGGTAAGTATCAAATGAAAAGTTGCAATTTTTTTTTTTTTTTTTT